AGCAGTCGGGCTCTAGAAAGCCACACCTCCCAATGTTTTTTTGGGGGGAGCTCTGGACCCAAACATGCCCCCTCCCCAGGATCCAGAACCAGCCCCGCTCCCCGGCAGACCCTGCCCTGCCTTCCGTTCCCGCCTGTGGCTGTGAAGCCCCTCCCGGCAGCTCAGCCTCTGCAATGGGGGTGGGGGGGGGGCCGGGAAGGCCCCCCCCCCCCCCCCGTCCTTACCACAGGGTCCTTGACGATGTCTAGAAGGTTGATGATGTTCGGGCCCCCTCGGAGGTTTTCCAGGATCTTAATTTCACGCTTTATTTTCTTCTTTTTGACTGGCTGAAAGAAAAGGCCCAGTTGCTGCGGTTACCGCTCGGCTTCAGGGGCCTTGGCCGGACCACCAGACCCCCCCCCCCCCCCCCCCCCCCCCCCCCCCCCCCCGCCTCTGGCTCAGTTCAGACAAGGCAGCCCAAGGGATGCATGGAGCTGCTGCTTCTCTGCTTCCCTTGCTCGTCCGCACCTCTCCTGCAGCCCTGGAACTAGCCAGGCCCGAGCCAGAGGTGGCAAACCCCACATGGCCCAGACTTCAAAGCATCGCAGAGCTCTTCCTTCATCTGGCAAATCTGCATGGACACCCCCCCCCCCATCTGACTCTGGGCAGCATGCAACTCAACCTGCCCCTCCAACTGAAAACCATTTGAGCAAGAAACCACACGCAGGGCGATGTTAGGCAGCATGTAGCTGACAGGCGGGCTCCCCGTTAGCAGCGGATTCCCCAGGCCGGTTGAAAACTTTCGCTCCCATCCAGCAACTTTTGGCTGTCCAACCTCTTCTTAAAAAACTTTTCCAAGTGGGGAATTCTCCAACCTTGGAAGCTTTTAAAGAAAGAGGCGGCCATTTGTCTGAAATGGTCTATAGCAGGGGTGTCCAAGCTTTGCTGGCTGAGGAATTCTGGGAGTTGAAGTCCACAAGTCTTAAAGTTGCCAAGGTTGGACACCCCTGATCTATAGGGTCTCCTGCCTGAGCAGGGGGTTGGACTAGAAGACCTCCCAAGCTCCCTTCCAGCTCTTGTTATTCTGTCCCGTTCTTTGCAGAAGCGCTGCTATGATCAGCCCCATTTGGGAGGGAAGGGGTTAGGGTTACGGTGACTCCAACTCTGGATCTCCCCCCCCCTGGCCCACTGCCCGTGGCGGCATGGGTGAAGTGTCCCCCAAACCCCGCAGATGCCGCCTGACCGCCCACCTTGAGGATTTTCACCACCACTTTCTCATTGTTCGTGATATTGATGGCTTCAAAGACCTCGCTGTACTTGCCACGACCCAGTTTCCGCACGAGCTGGTAGTCGTCTTGGTTACTGTGGGAATCGAGGGAAAGAGAAGGAAGTTTAGGCTGGCAGAGGCTCCCTTTGCCCCCTGGCACGGCTGCCCCCTTGCCCCCGGGGCTGACAGATCCCCCCAGGGGCCTCCTTTTCGTTGTCTCTGCTGCAGAACCCCCATGCTGATGGAAGAAATCCAGCTGGACACCCCTCTGGTAGAGAGTCACTGAGGCCACTTGGGGGTTGATCTGTGTCCTTGGGGTCACCTAAGTGGGGCAAATGGGGGTGGAGCCTTCTTGACAAGTTAAATATACAGTGGACAGGAATTATTATTTTTTTTTGGGGGGGGAGCAAAGGCAGGACCATTCAGAGGGCTTCGGATGAACTCGCAATCTCAGAATTACGGGGGTTCCTCCTTCCTTCTTAGATACAAAGAACAGAATAACTTTATTGTCCCTTTGAATGTCCGGCATACATTCAAATGACATTTCGCTGCATGCAGCTCTTAACAGCATGCACCACCTCCAATGTACCCACTATGTAAACGTGACAAGATAAATACAAAATGACATCTATTATATGGCGACAGAGAAGCAACCTGGCTTGGTTCGCATGTCTATTTTTGCCTCTCTTTGGCCGGCCTCGCAGCCCAGGAGAGGCAGGCCGGGCCAACAAGCCACCACCAGCTCAAGGAGGGGAAAAGCTTGGCTCCTTCAGGGGTCCACGGGGGAGGGGGAGAAGCAACCCCCCCTGCCAACCCTTCTGCAGCACCCACCCACCCACCCACCGCCACCTACCCCCATTCCACCACGTGGGACTCGTAGTCCCAGTACTCGCAAGGCCTCTGGGTGTTGACGTCCGTGTAGACTCTCGCTCGGCTGGGTACCGGGCCCGACATGCTGTCCCAGGGTGACGGTCACCACTGCAGTTGCTCTGAAACAAGCCAGGAGATCGATCACTTGCACAAACAAGGCACAACAAGGCTGTCCCTCCCCTAAAAAAAAAAGGGGGGTGGCTTGGCTCACTAGGAGAAAAGACCCAGAAGAGGCTTGATTGACAGGGCAAGCATTAAAAACAGCACAAGGGCTGGCTGGGGGATTCTGGGAGTTGAAGTCCACCCTAGACTCTAGAAAAGGTGCAGAGAAGAGCAGCCAGGATGATGAGGGGACACTGGAGGCTAAAACATACAATGGACGGTTGCAGGAACTGGGCCTGGCTAGTCCAGGGAAGAGAAGGACCAGGGGAGACAGGAGAGCATCTTCCAATATTTGAGGGGCTGCCCCAGAGAGGAGGAGAGGGGGGTCAAGCTATTCTCCGAAGCTCCTGTAGGCCAGACAAGGAATAATGGATGGACGCTGAACAAGGAGAGAGATTCAATCTGGAAATAAGGAGAAACTTTCTGACAGGGAGAACCATCAACTCCTAGAACAGAAGTTGTGGGAACTTCATCACTGGAGGCTTTCAAGAAGAGACTGGACTGCCCTCTGTCAAAAATGGTGCAGGGTCTCCTGCTTGGGCAGGGGGCTGGACTAGATGACCTAGAAGGTCCCTTCCAACTCTGATTATCTGTTATCTGTTAAATTATCTGGTGTTTTTTTTTATCCACCCGTTAACCTTGCTCAGAAACACCCCAGCAGGAAGCCCCCAGGTGCTTCTCCGCGTGACTTCCTTCCATGGCCTGGGCCTTTCTGAGGAAGCTCGAGCCACACAGGAGGAACCGGCCTTTCCTGAGAACAGAGGCGGCTGCTCAGGGGTCCAGAAAGCCCCATAGACCCTCAGGATTTGGGGCTGCTTAGACAGGGACGGTTGGGGAAGAGGGCAGGCCTTAACGGTCCAGCACAAGCCCTGAGACAAGCAAAGCCCCCCCCCCCAACGAGATGCAGGCAGCACACAAAACCAGTCCCCTCCTCCGGTCCCCTCCATGGAGCCGGTCCCTGGGGGCCCAAGGGTTGGGGGCGCTGCTTTAGGGCATCGAGCCCCGAGTTTTCCGGGAAGGAGGAAAGGACCCCTCCCTTCCCAGCTGAGCCCCGGCCGGCCGAGCCTGGCAACGGGGAGACGGGTCTGGTCCCCTTCAGAGGGGGGGGGCCACACTTGGAATACGGCCCCCACTTTGGGCCCTCCGAACGTAAAGAAGAGACTCCGGAAAGAGCGCAGAGAAGAGCAACCAAGAGGATTCGGGGGCTGGAGGCTGAATGATTGCAGGGACTGGGTGTGTCCAGTCTAGCAAAGAGAAGGACCGGGGTGACAGGAGAGCCACCTTACAGTATCTGAGGGGCTGCCCCAAAGTAGAGGGGGTCAACCTAGTCTCCAAAGCCCCTGAGGGCAGGACGAGAAGCAACGGATGGAAACTAACTAGTATTAGATGTATTAGTTGACTTTTGTCATTGCACCTCCTACAACGAAATCGAACACCATCTTCAGTGCACATCATGAGCATGAAAATAAACACAAGCACACATCCTTCACCCTTCACACATTGAACCGGAAACCCGACACACCAACACTGCACGAAACAGCAGAATTCAACAGAGCTCCTGCCCTGGGATAGAAGCTGTTTTTCAGCCTATTTGTCCTTGTTTTTGTTATTCTGTACCGTCCGCCAGATGGTCATAGTTCAAAAAAAAAGGGTTCCCAGGATGAGATGGATCTTTGAGGATGTTTTGAACTTTCTTAAGGCAGCGGGAGCTCTAAAGCTCTTCCAAAGAGGGGAGAGGGCAACCCAGGATCCTCTGGGCAATGATGGAGCATCGTCCTATCTGCCTCTGTGCAACTGGCAAACCCTACACAGGTGTGCAGGAAGTTAAGATACTCTCTCTGGTGCAGCGGTAGAAGGTCACCAGCAGTTTTCCATCCGGTTGTTGTTTCCTGAGAGGCCTCAGGTCGTCTAATCTCTGCTGGGCCCTTTTGACCAGGGCTGCAATGTGGGCCCCCCAGGTCAGGTCCTCTTTTAGGGTAACACCCAGAAACTTAAAACCGGCCCCTTGCTCCCCTCAGGAACCAAGGAGCGAAGCCCCCTGCAACTTCCTGACAATGAGGACCACGATATCAATCACGACAGCCGCGTTCAAGGATTGGAGGGGCTGCCCCCAAGAGGAGGGGCTCAACCTCTTCTCTAAAGCCCCAGAAAGCCAGACAAAAAGGCAGGGCAAGAAGCACCGGATGGAAACGGATCAAGGGGGGAGAAGCAACCTGGAATTCAGGGGACATTTTATGCCTGTGAGAACAATAAACTTGCCTGCAGAAGTTGTGGGTGCTCCAGCCCTGGAGGTTTCTGAGAAGAGCCTGGGCAGCCATTGGTCTGAAAGGGTATAGGATCTCTTGCGGGAGCGGGGGGGCTGGACTAGAAGACCTCCAAGGTCCCTCCCAACGGCGTTATTCTGCAGCAACCCTCCCTCAGGCCGGAGAGAAAGTAGCTTGTGCCCCTGGCTGCCTTCCCAAGAGACCCGCAGGGAGGCTGCCTGACCGGAACAGCCTTGCCCCAGCCAGCCCCACGCGTACACGCTCTCCACCCACAGGCCCACGAAGTCAAGAAGAGAAGCTGCCTTGAGGCCAGGTGTGTGGGGGGGGGGGGGGGGGGAGGAAGGGGCCGCGACGGCTGAGGAGCCCTTGTGCAACCAGGGAACCCAGGAGCCAGGGAGGGAGGGAGGCTTAGGCACGGCTGCAGCCAGAGAACCAGCCTGCATGCAACCCAGCCCAGCTCTACGGAGGTTCACAGCTCCTGGTTGTCCCCCAAAGGCAGTTTTTCCCCAAAGGCAACTGGACTTTCTTTGTGTGTTTTTTTTCCTTTGAAAACGTTTTGCTTCCCTTTCAAAAAGCTTCTTTAGTTCTGAAGTTCTGTAGGTGAGAAGGGAAACGTTCACAAAGGGGGGGGGGGGAACCCTGAGGAAGTCCAGGCCACGGGATCAAAATTCAGATGTTTGACAGCTGACTCGTGTTTACGACCGTCGTGGGGTCCCAGGGTCACGGGATTCCCCTCCTGCGGCCATTTGGACAAGCAAAGCGGGAGCCGGATCCGCTTAACGACCGTGTGAGACTAACTCAGCAGCTGCAGTGATTCACTTAATAACTGTGGTGAGAAAGGATGCAAAATGGAGCCAAACTCATATATGTCTCACTTCACGAGAGAAATTCTGGGCTCCGTTCGGTTAGGGTGACACTCGGTGACACAACAGTGTTGAAAACCCACTGCGCAAACGTTCACAGCCCGGGCCGCGGCTGGTGCTCCAAGAAAGCAACCTGGCATTTCAAGATGAACTTCCATTTGGGAAGCAAATTCCCAGGAATCCCCATAGGAGAGAGGAAGCACCTGTGTGCGCGCCTGGTTGTGTGGACACGCACAGAGAGATTCAAAGGGCATTGATTGAAAGCAGGAGCCACAAAGGAAAAAAGGAAGAAAACATCCTCCAAACTTCCTTCCAAGTTCCCGTTTTCCTTTCCCAGGCTGAAACTCCGCCTCTGCCTTTCGCCAAGAGTCCAGCCGCAGAAAGTTAGGAAAACACGACGGCCCACATTGGCATAACAACTGATAACACCTCGGGGCCGGCAGAGATTAGCGCTTCTGAGCTTATCTACCACAGAGTGATAGCACAGGCCTCAAGGGTTCCAGCCCCGATAAGATTCTGGGCAATTCCATCTATGCGGTACGCAAGTCTACACTCTCGCGCTTCCCCAGAAGAGGGTTCGAAACTGCCTGCGCCTCTGCTCTCAAACAAAGCATACACACTAGCTGGATCCCCGTGATTCGCTAGGACTAAACTATGCGCTTGGGCTTAGTTTTTGGGGAGGAAAATAGGAGGGGAGGCGGGGGAATTCTGCCTATGCCTACCAGCATCCATCGGTATTCATCTGGCTAGCATTCTGTCAGGGTGAGAGAGAGTTGAGAGCTGTTTGGAAACTGAAAGAGTATTTGATGTGTGAGCAAGGAGATAGCAAGAAGCCTGGGCGTGGCTTAGCTCAACTGTTCTGGACTAAACTATGAAAGTAAAACTGAAACTGAACCTCCTCTGCTTGTGTTTTGCATTTGGAAGAGATTTCTTTCCAGGTGGGGTGGGAGAGTAGAACTCCTTAGCATCACATAATAATAATAATAATAATAATAATAATAATAATAATA